CCCCCCCCCATAGTGTTTCTGTTTCTAATTTAATGTTTAGAATATTATACATTATATATTATTTTTTGGTATGTAACACAATATTTAATAAGTCATGTATTTTGCAAATATTAAAAAAAAGATACATGGAAAACGAAATTTTACTATATAAATTGTTTGTAAATACAATTCTATCACAATTTTGTTGTACTAACTGGACCCCTTGGAATATCGTTTCCAAAATTTTTTTACGTCGTCATGACCTGCTTTTGTAACTACCATAGTCCGTTTTCTATGAAAATAAAATATTTTATATTATAAGTATTTGTTCATTCAATTCTTAAAATATATATAAATAAAATAATCAATATAAAAATAAACCTTTCACTTTGCCAAATTAGTACTCCAGTAGAAAGAGCATGATCTCTAAGCACTTCGAAATCAGTTTGAGAGAGAAATTGACTGTATAAGACCCCTTCACTAAATGTAAATCTATTTCTTTCATTTTCCCACAATTTAATTTGATCTACTATTGTGGGAGGTAAAATTGGAGGACCTGCTTCTATCATTTTACTGTGAGCATGTTGCTGCAAATAACTGTTAATATAGCAAAGTTCAAATTAACTGTTTATTTTAATTGCTTGATATATTTTATATAAGCCCTTTTAATAAAAACGTACCCTACAATTTGTGCAGCAGTAATTCCACTTTTTAAAGCTTGACGTACTGAATCTCTTGTTAATATTGATACAACCAAGTTTGGGAACCTATAAATAAAACAGTTTAAACTTTCATCCGAGAGTCATTCAATATGAAGTATTTAATTCTTTCAAATACATACCTATATAACATTTCACAAAATAGACCAAGTAAAGCAACTTGTAAATTTGAGTTTGTATAAGCATATACTCTGTAATTTGTTTCAACAACAATATATCCTTCCTTCTCTGGATCTCTAGACAATGGTTTATTTTGCCCAGTTGCAATATTTAGTGCTAATCTTGTAGGGTAAAATCTAAAAATATTCATTTAATATAATATTATTATTTATATTAATAGTCTTTAAAAAAGTATCCTTCCAGGATTTAAAAATGTTTACCTTCCAGCTTTTCGTTTCCTTTGATAAACTAAACCAAATTCCCTTAAATGTTGTAAAAATGTTAACAGACCTTCAGACATTCCTTCAGTACTATAATCTTTACCAAGAGTTGAAAAATTTAATTGAAATAGAAAAGTAAGACACTCAACTAAGTCAAGTCCTCTTGCTTCTATTGTATCTAAATATTGTAAAATGAAATACCACACCTATAACATACTTAAAGAAATGAGTATATCACAAAATTCACAATTTTTTTTTTATTTCATAAATGTAATTCTAATTTACTAACAGAATAAAAAAAAAACCAATAATTATGTTTAAGTACCTGTAATGCAGTCTCCAATAATAAAAATTGAAAACCTGCTTGTGTAATGACTGGACTTCCATCAGCTTCATCTCGCTTCATTAGACCAGCATGTAAAAGAATTCTAACAGCATCAGCAGATATACCTATATAGTAATTATTCATATCAAATTAAAAGACAGATATGTTCTGTACATATCTCTTTCTCTCATATATATATATGAGAGAGATATTTTGAAATATTTTAATACAAAATATATATAATCTATCTGATTAAAAATAGATTACCTTCTTGCTGTTGTGAACCAACCATGTAATGTAAAACACATTCCCACCTTTCTAATGCATATGAATCTAAAAATGCAACATCTCTAGGTTTACTATCAGTTTCTAATTGATTTGACATTGTCCATGGTTTTCCACCTCCCAAAAGGACAATTTTTAAGTTTTTTTTGAATGTAGTATTCAAAATCCACCCAGGTAGCCCACCTGGTATTGATGCTTCTTTCCATACATTCAGTTCATTTAATATTAAAACTACCTTTTGATGTTCTTCGAAATGAAGTTTAGAGCACCAAGAAGCAATAACGGCTTGAGGTACAGGTTGTTCAACAAATAATAATCGCATAACATAATGTTTTGCTATTACTGGCAATTCGCGAAATACAGCCAAACAAATTGGTGGGTTGTGATATAATTTATTTAACACCTCTGGTGGACGTGATTTTAAATATTCTTGAAGATTTTTACACTGTAACCCTGTTGGTCGTAATAAGTTCTTTCCGCTTATTGTATTTGACATTATCTATTTATCAAAGAATTATATATAACATTGAATAATAGTTGAACTTATGTCTATTGTATTCAACATGAAATGTTATATTTATATTTGAATTTAATTAGTAAACTATATTCATATTAATTTCTCTATATAAATAACAATAAACTATCTCAAAGAATCGCATGAATAATATTGTATGTTATATGAACATTACATTATATATGATAATTACAAAATTAATATCTACGATTTCCTCTTCAATTGAACGCACTCGCGGCACTTAATACACAACACAAGTTATATCATGATCTATAAAACACAAAAGATATGCATATTCATCGAAAATAGTATTTTAGTTTCACGGAAAATAAATAATTTCATTCGCATATATTTGATATTTTTTTTAAAAGAATTGCAATTGTAATCTAAATTATTAAATTAAAAACAAAACTATGACGAAAGTAATTATTTTTATATTTAACAAATTTATAATTAAGTTGCAACAAGCGACATACAAAACTAAGTGACTTAAAAATGAACACACTGTAAATTGGAAGTAGTGTATTTTCGATTTTATATATTGGTACATAGTGTTAAAAAGCACACTTCATATGACAATACAGAATATGATTTTTATAACAAAATGTACTCGATATGTAAAAGTACTCATCCAGCTACAGGAGTAGAGCACGCAATAACGTGTTATTTCTTTAATCGTTCAGAAAAATGTCTTGTAGTAGCTGGCGCGAATATTATTCGAGTATTTCGTTTAATTCCGGATGTGGACATAACGAAGAAAGAAAAGTATACAGGTACATTCAACTAATTGTTAATTATTCAAAAAGAAACAGAAATTAATATTCTATTTTTCTTAGAATCACGTCCACCAAAAATGAAATTAGAATGTTTATCTCAATATACTTTGCATGGAAATGTGATGTCAATGCAAGCTGTAACTCTTATTGGATCTCAAAGAGATTCTCTTTTGTTAAGCTTCCGTGATGCAAAATTATCAGTTGTAGAGTATGATCAAGATACTCACGATCTTAGAACAGTATCTCTACATTATTTTGAAGAAGAAGAAATACGAGTAATTAACATTGGAACATTTAACAAATATCTTAAAAATATATTTCTTTCTAATCTAAAACATGGCCTAATTATGTTTGTCCATTTTTTTAAAGGATGGATGGACAAATCATCACCATATTCCAATAGTTAGAGTAGATCCTGAAGGTAGATGTGCTGTAATGTTAATATATGGCAGAAAATTAGTTGTGTTACCTTTCAAAAAGGATCCTAGTCTTGATGACGGAGATTTATTAGATAATTTAAAAGCATCATCCAATAAAACTCCTATATTATCATCATATATGATTGTATTGAAAAGTTTAGAAGAAAAAATGGATAATATAATAGATTTACAATTTTTGCATGGTTATTATGAACCAACGTTGTTAATATTATATGAGCCAGTAAGGACATTTTCTGGGTAAGTTTGATTAAACTTATACGATTTTGTTTTTAATGAGGCAATAAATGTGATGTCATTTTAGCCGTATTGCAGTTAGACAAGATACTTGTGCTATGGTTGCAATATCATTAAATATTCAACAAAGAGTGCATCCCATAATTTGGTCTGTATCAAATTTACCATTTGACTGCTATCAAGCAGTACCAGTGAAGAAGCCACTTGGTGGTACTTTGATCATGGCAGTTAATTCTCTTATCTATTTAAATCAAAGTATACCACCTTATGGAGTATCCTTAAATAGTTTAGCAGAAACTAGTACAAATTTTCCATTAAGTTAGTATTACATATTATATTTAATGTATATTTCAAATATATTATTTAATATACTTAATTAAATATCTTGTTATTATAGAACCACAAGAAGGAGTAAAAATAAGTTTAGAAGGTTCGCAAGTTGCATTTATTTCTTCAGATCGTTTAGTCATTTCATTGAAAAGTGGAGAACTGTATGTATTATCTTTATTCGCGGATAGTATGCGTTCTGTAAGAGGTTTTCATTTCGATAAAGCTGCAGCAAGTGTTTTAACTTCATGTGTAAGTATAGTTAATTTTAGTCAATGTTATATATATTTATATATAAAAATATTTTTATAAAATAACATGAAAATTTAGGTGTGTATGTGTGAAGATAATTATCTATTTCTGGGATCACGTCTTGGTAACTCATTGTTATTAAGATTTACTGAAAAAGAACCAGAAAATTTACAAAATATAAATGAAACTGAAGTAGTACTTGAAGAAAATGAGACTGAAGAAACTCCAGCAAAAAAAATAAAACAAGATTTTATAGGAGATTGGATGGCATCTGATGTATTAGATATAAAAGATCCAGAAGAATTAGAAGTATATGGTAGTGAGAGGGAAACACATACCTCAATTCAAATTACATCGTATATATTTGAAGTATATCATATGTTTGAAGCATACATAATAATAAATAATTCATTGAAAACAAACCATCTAATATATATTTAAATTCTTATATTTTATAGGTATGCGATAGTTTATTAAATATTGGACCATGTGGTAATATATCTATGGGTGAACCAGCTTTCCTATCAGAAGAATTTTCACATAATCAGGATCCTGATGTTGAACTTGTTACAACATCTGGATATGGTAAAAATGGAGCGCTTTGTGTTCTCCAACGTTCTATTCGACCTCAAGTAAGTTGTTTTATGGTTCAAATAATTTGTAAATTATTTAAATTCAAATATTTTACATGATATGATAAAAGCAATATTTACATTTAAAATAGGTTGTAACTACATTTGAATTACCAGGATGTGAAGATATGTGGACTGTTATTGGTACATTAAACAATGATGAACAAGTAAGACCTGAAACAGAAGGAAGTCATGCGTTTTTAATTTTAAGTCAAGAAGATTCAACGATGGTATTATGTCTTTTATGTAATTATTATAATTTTTAGTTTTTAAATATGATATGTATATACGTGTACATATTTCTAGATATTGCAAACTGGTCAAGAAATTAATGAGGTAGATCAAAGTGGATTCAGCACACAAGGAAGTACAGTATTTGCTGGAAATCTTGGTGCAAATAGATACATAGTGCAAGTTACTCAAATGGGTGTACGTCTTCTACAAGGAATTGAGCAGGTATGTACAATGTTATTTGAAATTATACTTAAATAATAATCTGAATATAAATATTTATATCGCAAATATAGATCCAACACATGCCGATAGATCTTGGATGTCCAATTGTACATGCAAGTAGTGCAGATCCTTATGTAACACTACTTTCTGAAGATGGACAGGTCATGTTACTGACTCTTAGAGAAGGACGCGGAACGGCTAGATTGCATGCTCAAGCAGCTAATTTATTATTCGTAAGTTTACAATATAGTTTATAATATATATGTATTTACTACAAATTAGTATTTCATTAATATTCTTATTTTATTCAAATTTTAGCGTCCTCAAATAGAAGCATTATGTGCTTATAGAGACGTTAGCGGAATATTTACAACACAATTACCTGAAAATATAGAAGATGAAGCACCCGAAGAAGAACATAACATAGAAGAACCACCTATTGTTGGTAATATTGATAATGAAGATGATCTATTGTATGGTGATGCACCAGCTTTTCAAATGCCTACACCATCACATACTAAATCATCTGAAGGTGTATCTAAAAGAGCTCCTTGGTAAATATGTCAATTCAAAGTTATATTTAAACGTTACATTTTTAACAATATTGAAGTATAAAATTTAAATATTATTGATATATATATATATATATATATATATATATATA